TAACACAACTGTGTAAACAGACTACAGTGAGGGGTAATTATTATTTCTGTGGGGTGGCTGGTTTTAAAATTAAGACATTGGATGACAATGCCACTGTTAATGTACACTATGTATTTCAATGTGTCGGGGAAAAAATGAATCAGATTAGACCATAAATACATGTACATGTGAATTAAAAAATTCCTTTCAAACCCCAGTAAATAAAGAAATACAGGAATAATGACAATTATTAGAATTTTGGGAAAACTTTATCATAAGCTTGTTGGTCCTTTTTGGAAAACCTTGTTTAGTTTGCTTTGTGTAGACAGCTTAACTTGTGTGCTTCCAGCAAAGAGATTGACAGCCTCAGGTGTAAAAGACGGAAACATGATTAGGTATGGACCATTTGAAATCCTGGGAAGGGCTTTGATTTAAGGGGAAAATGTTTTTGTTAACAATAATTTATGAAATTGATTATATATTTAATTGTTAACTTTATATATATATATATTTATCAGATCATCAGTGAGCAAAACAATTATTTTTCTAACTTCAATGCCCTCCCCTGGATTTTAAATGGTCCACCCTAAAAGCCATTTTTGATAAATGAATGGCTGCACATGTATCTGTAAAAAGTCCAGTTCAAAATAAAACTCACAACGGATATAGACTTACTGAGCTGAATCAGTACGCACACGTACTAAAACCATGGTGCAAAAAACTAAAATTGGCTTCCCAGCGTATCACAACTCCCTAAATGCAGTAGCTTTGACCAATATGAACTGAGATAATTGATAAGGCTTGGATTGTTATATTAATAAAATTGAAAATATTAATTAAAAAAAGGATATACATATTGAATATGGTTAAATTACATAACTAGCCTGACAGCTAGTTTGGAAATAAAACGAAATGAATGAATAGAAAGCATGAAAATAAAACTGAATGAATAGAAAAGGCTAACTGAGATTTACATACGTTTCAGACATGCTAATTTTTCAGCTTGTCTGTGAGAACAAAAGGTAAATAAAAACAAACTGGGTGTGTTTAGGGATTTCCCCTGTTACTAATAATAGCATATTTATCATACTGTTTATTCATTCATGAATAACATCCGATCACACCATATAATTATGTGAATGTGTAAGGTTGTGTGCAAAAAAGCACATTTTATTTTACTATAAATCATAAGCAGTTGTCATTAATATCAAAGTGCAATATAAAACATACCCACAAAAGACTATTAATTGTTTTTTGATGTGCAATTTTAAAAATTGCTAGAATAAAACTATGTGAAGTTGTTGTGACTGGTTTGCCAATTAATTGCTTATAAAAACAATCTGATGAATAGATATGCATCGTGTTAAGCTGATTGTTGGCAACTGTCAGATGCAGAAGCAATGTATAGGCTATAGGCTATCTCACTTGTTTTTATGATTTGTGTGGGTGTGCGTACGCAGTGACTGATTGGCAAGAACCGGTTTGCTCGGATATGAAAATAAAATTTTCTTAGGTTTTTTGCTGCTACTGTATTTAAATATACATGTACGTGTTCCTGTAAATAACACAATATATGGGCAATGTAATCACGACAGATCCTGAGCTAGTGCCGATCAGTGAGCGAAATTTGTTATCAAACATTCACATGTTGGTTGGCATAATTGTGAAATATGATAGCATATAACACTGTGTTTTTATTTGTTAACATTTTCTTGCAACCAGCATGTGAATGCGGAGTGAAATATTGTAGCCCTGTTTTATTAAATATATATCGAGTAGCAACAGTAGCAGACAAAACCATTATTTTATCTTGTCAGCCATGCAGCCACTGCGAACACGTATGCGCACAAAATGTTATCAAGTGCGATGGCCTATGTATTTTCGGAATCAGATTGCAAATCACTCGTGGCTACCAGTGTACAGCCACGAAAAATATCCCATCTGATGGAAATCCCTCACATATGGGAAAATTCTTCTTCTTACAGAGAAATAATAGCATACTGCATGTATTAATACATCAGCTGCTTGTTTACTCTATGTTAGTGTGTTTATATAACCACTCTTGATGAAGAATCTTAGGTGACGGCCATCACGATGCACCTGCCTCTATATTCATGAGGAATGATTGGCCAAACCATACTTATATATATACATATATTAATATATTTGAAGCAAGTGAGTGACAACCTCCTGGAGTTTTTTTTTGAACTGGACTAGGATGTATATTGGTTTGAGTTCAGATAATTTACATCACAAAAAGTCAACATTTACAAATCAAATTAATAGAAGAAATATCCATAATTTTTCAAAAAAACATTTTGTACGGTAATGAAAAAATATAAATATTTTATGATGTTATGACAAATATTGATGCATTGGAAAAAAAATGCTATGGACCAAAAAATGTCATTAGATGTTTACATTAATTCTGAACATTTACCATTCAGGGATGTGAGATCTCTGTCCATCTCTTTGCTAATGTGCACTCTCCTGTGTTCCATGTATTGTCTTGTACTTGGGAAAATAAATGATAGTCAGAGATTAGAGAATTTTTAACAATTTGAGAAGTGAGAATAAAATTTTTTACTACTTTTAAAGTCTGGTATCTTTTAATAAATTAATTGTACAAAGGCATGTATATTTTATTGTAAGCTAAAATTTGCTCAGTCGCGTCACAAAGTTGCACAATAAGATTACACCATATGAGCAATAATTCTGTTAATGTTGTCATGGAGATACTATAGCAAATTCATACTGTGTACAAGACAATATATGGAAAATACAATGTAGCAATAACTTTGTAAAAACATGTATTTACACTGATATATTATTATAGTAACTTTTAGTAAAAATTTCACCTTGTATCAAACTTTTCTGGTAACATATCACACTGGAGTTGCTGGAGGGTGACTGCTGGTAAAGAAGTCTATGATTCCTATTCCCACATGTGATCGGGTATCGATATACTGCCCTCTAGTGACAAGGTCTACATTTTTATTTAAATTCAGTCTCCATTTACAGATTTCAGGAGTATTAGTTTTTGAATGTTCTCTGTAACACTTTCAAACAAACCATTTACAAAACATTTGTTACAAAGATGGATATTTTTATGGCATATTTATTATTCAGTAAAATAGGGACCAAACAAACGCATATTAGTCAACACGTATATCGACAGATATAATATTAATATATGTAGACCAGAAAGGATTGATCATGATATGCTCAACCACAGTTGTACATTTCTTCAAATATAGATAATGAGATGAATGTATTTAACTTTTCTATCAAATCTTTCTTTGTCTACTATTCCAATATTTGGTTTTTCATTTCCCAATATGCATTGCAATTGATTTTGGTGTGTATATTTTAAACATTCAGTTGTCATAGTAACAGTTCATTGTAATTTGCCAAACACATATTATCTGATTTAAAATAACTATAAAAAGGACAGACATTGAAATCACAAAACTTTTATAGACAGTTGTCTAAGCCAAATTGTTCTTCAAATAAATCCAAAATACTGTTCCGTTTATTTTGTTGGTAAACAAAATGACCAAAAACACCTTTTTTCTGAGACTAAAAATGCGATTTCAATAACAATGTATCTGGAATACTATTCAAACAAATAAAATGCGTAATCTTCATGATCATTCCACTTTTTGAATGCATTTCATATTGTTAACAAAATAGCTTAAAATTATAATCTGAAAACATTCCTTTGGCTTTATTCCAAAACTGAGGTTTCTGCGGTAATTCAAAACAGAGAAGAATCTTTGTTAATCACATATCAGAATACTACTCAAATTAGTTAGCAAATGACAAACTGAAATCTGCTCCTCCCTACATGAAATGTTAAGACCAATTGACAAACCTTTTGTTTAAAAAAGTAAAAGCAATATCTGAAATTTTCATTATAAAGAATGATCTCAGAGGGCAGCATTAATGTTTTTATTATGGATCAAACATGATAGACATCTGAAAACTCTAGATTACAATAATTACCCAATATTCTTGTCGTCATTTTCAGAATATCACGTACACAGATTTATTTTTGTTATAATAGAAATATAATTTCAAAAGAGTATTCTGTA